CTACATCATCATAATCAACTAAATAAGAAATTATTCGAAGAAGATGAGTTTTGTTTCTACCTACATTTCAAGTAAATCGTGTAGGTTTAGATAGATAGGAAAGTAGGTATCTACCACCCATTCATAAAATTTCAATAGAATTTCAGAGAAAAATTGAAATAATAATGAACATGATAATTAAATTGTTAAAATTAGAATAAATCAATTATTTATTACTTGTTTTGTTTTTGTTGACAGATATTTGTCATAACAGTATAATTAACAGGTTGTTGTTTTTTAATTTTTTATTTTTTTTTTTTGTTCTTATGTCATTTTTGAGCGATTTCACATTAAATATTTATTTTATGTACACATATACATACATTGTAAATTTAATTGTTTTAATTGAAATTTATTTATTTTTTTTTGTTTTGTTTTTTTTTACAATATTTTATGAGAATTTAATGATGGGTATATGAGAATTGAATATTACAATAATAATTATTGTTACCTATATTCTATATTTATTATGTACATTAAAATTTGAATAATTTGTTTAACAAAAAATTTTATTATAATATAGAAAGCTATCACATTATATAGAGAATAAAAAACAAGAGAAAAATTTAAAAAAAATATAAAAAAATTGAAAAATATTTTTTTTAATTATGTAAATGGTAATTTGGATTTTTCAACATTCAGCCTTTGTATATACGGAAAATACACATAATAAATAAAATGAAATTAATTCTTTAATTTTGAATTTTAATTAATTGAGGAGCGCAAACAAATTGAGGGAAAAATGAGCTCAATGAGCGAAAAATTACCTCAATGAGCGAAAAATGAGCTCAGTGAGCGAAAAATTAGCTCAATGAGCGAAAAATGAGCTCGATAAGCGAAAAACAAGTTCATTGAGCGCAAATGAGGTAATTGAGCGAAAATGAGCTCATTAAACGAAAAATGAGCTCATTGAGCGAAAAGAGCCCTAAGAGCTCATTTTCATTGTTGAAGTTTAAAAATTGAATTAATGTAAAAATAAAGATTTTAATTTTAAATAAGAGTCGAATATTCCGACTGAATGAAAAACAATTTGAGGATTTTGTTATAATACAAATGCCAATGAGAGGCAAAAACAAGTATGAGTAACCGAGTGAGTGACATTTATATGAGCTGAATGAGATTTTTGATACTATTTTAAGAATTAGTGAGTTGATATCGAAAAATTTTTGCAGAATATGTAAAATTTAAAATTATTTATTAAGAGAAAATACATTAATTTAAAATTAATTATGAAATAATTTTAATAATCAAATAATTTTGGGAAATTTTTAACTAAATCCAAAATTTTAAATCTTTTTTTTTGCATTTTTCTTATATAATTTTATTTTTTGATTTTAGTCTTTAAACTATACATTTAATTACAATTAATTATTGCTTTCTGAAGACGCATAATATTTTATATACTTACATATTTCATTATACATTATAGTTTTCTTCCCTCTTTTTCTTTTGTATTTTAATATTAAAGTGTTTGTTTTCGATTTTCTTTTGTTTTCTCGCCCTTTCTTTAACACCATCTTAAATTGTAATTCTATTTTTTGATTTTCTTAATTTTTGTTTTTGTTTATTTTGCTCTAAATAATTATTTTTAATATTGAATAATTTTTAATTTTATTTGTTTTTCATTTTATACACATATTTTTTTTTTACATAATTAAATTTCTAAACGAATCCCTTGTTTCAGTTTTGTATCATTTTTATTCACTATTATTAATTATAATTATTGTTTTAAATGTACATACATACATAATTACAAAAACTTATTGAATTTTCAAAATTAAGTTTGTATCAAAATTAAAATAAAATTTTAAAAACTTGACATTATTTGGGTTTGACATAGATTGACAAACACAGGACAAGGATTAAACATACAAAGACAAACACAGGATTGAGGTTGATAATGAAAAATTGAATAACACAAACATATTGTATATAATATAGGCACTTGCACACAAGGAAGGGGCTAGGAATTGAAATGATGGGGAAAAAATTGACAAATACAAAACAGATAATATTTTTTTTAAACAAATTCATTGTAGGATTTGATTGATTGGAGTGGTTTTGGAGTTTTTGGACAAACATTTTAACAAATTTTAGACAATCAAAACAAAAATTTTAAACAATCACAAACACGTGGAATATAAGAAAGGCACACATGGAATTTGAAAGAAAGGAAGTTGGAAGGAAATTATTATTATTATAGGTATACGAACAGCACAAACAATTGGAAAACATGTATGAAAACAAAAGGAATTTTGTTGACAAACTCACATAAATTAGGAAATAAAATGATAAAATTTTGGATTTGAAATAAAACACAATATAGGATTTGGACATTTCACAAAATAGCACAGTTTACACATACACATAATTATACGGAATATAAATTGCACAATACACAACAGTAGGGTAAAAATTTAATTTTGTTGGGCTAGGTATACATATAAGGAAACAGTGGAATTTTTGAACGAATCACAAACACATGGATAACATAAAAAATTTGAATTGGATTTGAATAAAACAAAAAATTTGGAGTAACATATTTAACATGAGGATTTTGGAAAATTGTATTGGAATACAAAAGGATTTGACAGCACAATTTGGACACAAATTTTATTTTAATTAAAAAAATAAAAAAAAAATTTAAAATAAAATATTCGTGATCGTCCGACCAGTGGCGTTGAATTACCATAATAAAAATTAATTGATTTATAACTGTTATAACTGTTATATAATTATAAACACATAATAACTGTTATATAATTATACATACATAATTTCTTATATAAAAATAAAATTAAAAAATAAATTTAATAAATGCTATTACCATTTTTAAAATTTTACATTTTTTTTTTATATACATAATATTTATATTTTATATTAATATAGACATACGGCATATAGACATACGGCATACTAATATACATGCATATATAATTTATTTAAATATTAAAATATTTTGGTTTTAATCATTAAAATCTATATAATGAAATAATTATTTTTCGCCCCAATTGATTTCGAATAACAAATCGATAATAATATTAAGGCCATGGATAAACTCATAACTTGGGAATTTTTTTATATGTAATCTTAGAATGAATAATTTATTAAGAGATTATTAATTTCTCTATTTGAAAAGATTTTAATATAATTTTTTAGAACCTTGATTAATTATTATTTTAAATAAAATATCACAGTTTTCTAATGAATATGAAGCACAAGGAAAAAAATCAGGAAATTAACATAAATCTACAGTTACTTTTTTTTTGGGTTACCGTTATTATTATTATAATAATACAAATGCCACTAAAATAATAATGATAAAAAAACCTTTTATACTGAAAAAATATTAATTTTTGAAAAATAATAATGAAAATAAAATATTTTCATTAAAAACTGTGAATTTTAAAAATTTGATTTCATTGGAATATTGTAGATAATAATGATTTTAACATTTATTTCAAATTTAAATCAATTGTATCGTAATTACCAATATACGTACGAATTATACAACACAGGCTTTCCAAATAATTTCTTCTTTAATTTAATTATGATTTGGTTTTTTTTTAATTATTTGACAAATTGTTGCTTAATTTAGTTGAAACTTCAGGTTTATAAACAAAATGCCTTGTCACAGTCATAATCTAGATCTAGTAAAAATTACTCAGGGATGATTTTGTAATTGCGGTAACGTGTCATTTAATGAATGCCTGTTTGAATAATTTAATTTGAATATTATACAATATTGTAAATTGTTATATTGTGATTAATATTCTGAGTATCGAATCACTAAGCGACATACAATGACATTTATCGTAAAAGTTTCAGATGATTCGTGTCTATAATAATAGACACGAATGATTTTGTATGAATTTGGTTTGTGTTTACAATAATAATATTGAACTTTTTACGATAATATTATCACACTATAGTGATTCGATACTCAGAATATACACCCCAATTATTTCATATTACAAATAATATTATATTATAATAATTATTTTATTTTAATTAATCTAATTTTATCTATATTCTGAGACTCTCTAACTACTAATATAATAATTACTAAATAGCAAAAAAAAAATAATAAACAGGAAAAAAAAAATTGTATACATTTATATTTTTTTTTGTCTTAAATTTTAAATTTTCAGCATTTTTATTTTTATATAGAAAAAGTTCACATTAATTATACAATTTTTCTCTTTTATTTTCTCCTATCATAATTATTATTTTAAATATAAATTTTATTTACAAAAATTAATTGAGTAGTCATTTTTGAATTTTTCTTTATTTAATTTACATTATTACATTTGAAATTTTCTTTCTTTTAATATTCTTTACCTATACATAATAATTTTAAATTTATTTTCAATTTAATTTTATAATTTTAAAAAATATTTTGTGTTTTAATTATTTTGTTAATTTTGTTTTTAATTATTTATTTACTTTTTATATTTTGTTATTATCCTTATTTATTATTGTTCCATCATTGTATATTCCGTATTTAATTTCTGTATTATTTTCTCACTTAATTATCGCATTGTATTGCGCGTATCTCTTGTTGTCTTTAATTTAATTCACCTTATTTAATATTTTAATAATTATTATTACAGTTATTTTATATAGCTATATTTCTAATAATAATAATCTACTTGAAAAATTTTTGTTATAGCAACATTTTCATTCATCAATTTTGTATACAATAATAGATCGTATAAATTTTTGTTTAGCAACATTTAAGGTAGTATAAAGCAACATTAGAAAAGATTTTATTTTTTTTTTTGTTAATTTTTATTATTTTTATTAATTATATTGTTAAACAATTGAAATAAAAAAAAAAAAATTTAAAATTGAATTTTGTTCTTTGTTCTCTTTCTATAATCATAATGATTTTAATAGTAATAATAATAATTAATTAATATCTAATTATAATAATAATAGTTAATATTATTAAAGCAACGAGGTGTTTGTTGTTGTTGTTGTTGTTCATATATTTTTTGTTCATATTTTTGTTTTTTATTATATAATTTTTGTGTTAATTTATTTTTTAATTTAATATTATTATTATCCTCTAAGAGTCATACATAAACAACATGTGGTTTTGACATTGTTCGTGTATCTGGATATTCATAATGATCAAATTTTTCATATAAATGTTCTGGTTCATCAGATAATGGTTCTTTAACTGGTATATCCCATGGTTTTAAGGCACGATATTCATTTGCAATAGCTTGTGCTGCTAAATATCGTTCCAATTCTAATTTATCAACAGATGTTGCTTGTTGATGATGATTATGATGATGATTATGATTATTAATTGTATGATGATTATTATGTTGAAAATGATTTTGTGGTAAATGATGTTGCATAATACGATCATGTACATTAACAATTGTTTTAACAGAACGTCTATCACCTAATAATTTTCTACGTCTTCTAACAAATCTTAAATAAAATAATATACTAGCACCAGTCATTAATACAACTAATGTACTTAATATTGCACATACAATTGTAACAATATGAGCTGGACATGATATTTCTGTTTCAGTTAAATTTTTTAAATGTTTTCTAACAAGTTTTTTATCTTGTAATATATTACAACCAATACGATCTGAATCTAATATTAATATATTAGATGTTTCATTTGGATTAACATCATTATCATTATTATTATAAATATTATGATTATTAATATTATTATCATTATTATTTATATTATTATTGGATATATGTTTTTGTTGATTATCACGTAATTGTAATACACCTTCAGCTGTTGATGATGACGATGATGATGATGTTGAAGATAATCCACCATTATTTGATAATGACGATGCAGATTGACTTTCATGATGTATTAAACGCCATAACCATAATATTGAGCAATTACATTGTAATGGATTTTCACTTAAATATAAACGTTGTATTCTATCAATTGGAAATTGTACAGCATCAATTGTTTGTAAATTATTTCCCTTCATTGATATTTCAATTAAATTTGGATTACCATGGAATAATCGTAATGGAAGTTCAGTAAATTGTATATTCTTATTTAAATTGATGATTTGAAGATGAGTATTTTCAACAAATGCTCTGTAAATATATAAAATAATAAAAAAAGGAAAATATTATTAAAAGAAATTAGAATTTATGGTTAAAATATAAGAAAATTATTGATAAATGCATGGGCAATAGTAGAGATAGCGATAATCAAATTAGTCACATCAAATTCAGCACAGAAGACTAGGTGGTAATTGTGCCTTCGTAATGAAACACCCTTCACGTTGGTTTTAGTTTTTGATAAAACTGCTTATGCACACATTTGGATATCTCCGAATTCACATTTACTGCAGACTTTAATGAAAATAGCCGATCTCTCACGATGGGAGGGTTGTGAATACAAAAGACGGCAAAGGTCTATATGACTTGAAACAAGAAGACACTGGATATGCCTTATCTTTTAACTCAATTAAGGAAAAGAAACAAGCCTGGGAGAGCATATGCGGAAAAAACAACTCTAAGAAAGCAAGATGTTTAAGAACTTTTATAAGAACTACATTCATGAAATAATTAAATTTATCTATGGGTGTAATCACATTTAAAACTGTTTCCACGTTTATTATTATACCAAAGTACAATTTTAAATATTTTCAAATCCTTACATCTCATACAAAAATATTGTAAAATTAAAAAATTTTAAATATTTCTAATCCAATTAAATTTAAATATTTCACTCACGTTTCAATATCATATCAAAAAATAACAAACAAAAAAAATTTAATTTCTTCCTGAATATTTGCATTTAAATAACTGCATACACGTACACATAAAGTACCTTAATCCTTTTATATAATAATACTCTGTTTGCATTTTATATGATGTTATAAGAGCTTCCAATTTAAATAAAGAAAAAAAAAGAGATTATGAAAATCTAGGTCATATAATAATTTTGTAATCTAGAACCTAAAATCTTCAAAAAAAAAAACAAAAAAATTGTCCATTAGTCATGTACGGTATAGCAAAAATTTTCATAAAGTAACTACACAGAAGTGTTTTTATTGTTTGGATATGAGAAGGAAAAATGTTAATACTCGTATTATATTATAAAATTTTGATTTAATAGTAAGGATATGAAATTTATATTACATAATAAACGTGCACATTTCTTATCCATTTACTCAATGGCAAACTAGATATTGTTATATAGAGCATCAATAATAAAATTTTCGATAAAAGTTAAAATTTTGAATGATTTTAAGGAGAATATGCATTGTAATTCCAGTGAAATATTAGAATAAGAATTTGATGCCAAAAGAAAATCAAAAACAAATGTCCGGATTAGAAGCAGGTGGTTGAAGTGCTTACTGGATATTGTTTCACCATAGTTCATCATGGAAGCATGGAAAGAAGTAGAATGAGCTGCTGAAGACCAGAGCATCTGCTGGAGACTGTGACTCGCTTATGGCTCAAGTGCTTTTGCGGCTCCAAGTAGATGCAGATATAGCACTGAGAAATTCGTCAGAGGCCTAAAAAGAGTGCTCATGCAACTGAATCGCGAATCACTAATAATTTTCAAGATCCTAAAGGTTTAGGTAAGAATGACCACGGGGAAAATGTGAGTATTTCGTAGCTGAATTCCGTATTGATAACGGCATATCGAAAATGAACAGAATCGATTTTCAATTAGCTACAGTCGTAATTCAGGACAATACTAAGCTTACATGAGGGTAATAAAGAAATTCATCCAAAAGCAATATATTGTAATTTGGAGGTTGTGGTGATGATGCCCAGCGATCTAAAAGATCTATTATGTCTCTCCCTCGCGAAGTCCCAGTGTTTTTCCTAATTCCCCCTTTCGAGACCCACACTTTCGATAAATTGATGAATCTGAGTAACTTCTCCAGAGAAATATTCCACAACGAAATATGCAGCAGTGAAGTCCAACCTAGCTTTCCCTCCTCTTATACATCAACGCTTCACACCTATTAAGAAGGTACATCGAGGTCTCTTAAGCTTCCTTAGCTTTGTTTAATTGTTTCTTAAGCCCTCAGTGTCCCGCCAAGAAAACCAGTGAGAAGTTTCACATGATTCCTCGGAATTCTAGTGGTCGGCTCAAAGCGATTTGCCATTGTAATTGCATCTGGAGTAATTAAGAATATCAACAAAATTCTATTGAATTATTTACCCAGCTCATTTTGATTTTTAGAGTGTGTACAAGAAAAGGCAAATGCTATTAAATGCACTTTATTATTTTGCAATACATGTGATATTAGGAATGTATACATAACAGTTTAAGGACTATATTTCAAAATTTGTATTCTGAAAACACTCTCGTATACTACTGGAACAGAATATATGAACATGAAAATTTTAATTGCATTAAAAAGCACGTAACTACTTAGTTTTAAGTAATAATCTTCCTTACAATAATAAAATATACATAATATTGTTACAATTTTTTAATGCATTTATATATTGAGCACCTACACAAAACATATGTCACCTAAAAGATTTAGAGCTGATGTGCAGTAATGAATTAATTATTATGCAAAGTGTTCAAATGGATTTTAATTCATTTTGAAAATATACTCAAATTTTATGCTAAAAGGTAAAAGTATATTTTTACATTTGTTTTTAATTTGACATCCTTTTTATAGGTATATAGTATTATTCCGATGTACATCAATACCCAATATAAACAATACCTATTAAAATTTTAAGATCAATAATAGAATGTGTATGGGAGCAAAAAGATTTCATAATTCAAACAGTATGGCACTTGTTCCTCATATAAAATTTAACTGAAATTCTGATTACATTTATGTTATATGGAGGTATCTTTGGACGGTACCTGATGTTCACATGTCGGGCGGCAATATAATTTCATTAACTGTTTTTCAAAGCCATGCTTTGATCAAAGCCAAGCGTTTCGATTGCAAAACCCAAACAAAACTGCATTTATAACAAAAACGGCAATGAAATAACTTTACCCAATAATATAGCAAAAGTTTTGCTTTCGCTCAATAAATTCTAATATTTATTCTGATTTTATAATTCTCAAGTAGAAACCCGTTGTGGAAGAAAACTAAAATGTCCGCTCCGAACATATTATGGAGAAATGGTATTTGGAGAGAAGTTTGTTCCTAGAACAGCTAGGAAGAACCTTCAATTGCAGAGAATTGGAGGCATTTGTGTCACAGGGCCTATGAGAACTTGATCAACTGCCGCAATTGAGGTGACTCTAAGACTAAGCCCTTTGAGCCCTTTTGTTGAGATGGCACCAAATGCCATTTTGAACGAATGGATTGTAAATGGTGATGGCAAGAGATAGTGATCGCCTTATTGAAGCGATTTCGCTACTGGTGCTGCTTACGTATGACATAGTAAGAAAGTACAGCTTCGAGAAAAATTTTATCTCGTTACTGAGCAATAGACTGGGTTGAGAGCGTCATTTTTTAAGGTTACCTAATAGAATCTCACGCCATTAAATGGTAAACTAAATGGTTAAAAATCTGCACGGGAACGGGGCGAGAGTTTTCTAGTACAAATCTAGAAATGTACAGACGTTTTTAAATTTTTATGAGATTTTGAAATACATTTAAAGCAAAATCCTTAAAATCACACCTCAAAATTTAAAGTATTTATGAAATAATTTTAAAGTTTTAATAAAGTACGACATAAAAAAGTAATTTTGGAAAGAATTTAAATCAAATAATTATAAAAAAAGACTACAAGTTTTTTAAACTTTTCCACAATTCCAAAAATTTTTTTTTTCGTATAACTTTTAAATTATAAATGCAAATTTTTAGTCTAAACAAAATCTAATTAAATTATTAAACTTAAAAATTTTCTTTTTGTATTTTTCCTTTTAAATTTTTTCCTTGTTCAAGTGTTAGACAAGAATATTTTCTTTAATTAAAATGAAAATTCGAGCTTGTTTTTTTTTTCCTGAAAAAGCAAATTTTCTAATTGTTTTCTTAGAATTTTTTTTTTATTTTTTTTTTTAAATTCAAATATTTTAGTTTCCATAAGTTTTAATATTCTAAATTAAGATTTAAAATTCTTTTAAGTTTTAATGTTAATAAAGAAAGTTTTGCAAGAAGAACTTGTAGTACACGTATAGGTACATTTTTTTGGTCTGGGTCTAAATTTAAATTTATGAATTAAAAAACTTGTTGTTGATTTAAAAAATAAAAAAGAAATTATTATTGCTTATCATTATTTTGCATGTTTTTTCTTGATTTTTTGCGTATTTTTAAATTTTAAATTAATAATTTGTGGGCTTAAGAACAATTTTGAATAAAAATTGTGTGGACTATTCTTCTTAAAGAATAGAAAAGTTGCAAATAATTTAAAAAAATATTTTTTATAAAATTTGAAAAATTGCATACTTTTAGGGTTCATGCAAAAAAATCCAGTTTTAATCAAACTTTCATCAAACATTTTAATAAAATCAATCAATATGTATGATATCAATATTTTGCTTGAAAATTTTAGGTATATGTGCGAATAATATCTTTATGAGAGCGTAAATTTCTTAAATATTTGAGAGAATCAGTACGTTTCAGGGATGGTGCAATATAAAGAAACAAAAAAATCAAATTAGAAATTTATCTAGCAATATTTTATTAAATTTGTGTTCAATTATTTAATTTTTTTTTTCTCTCTAATTCAGATAATCACTGCAATGACATATATAATCACTGAATTTTACCGTCATAATGAAATTTTTCTATCAGGGTTGAGCATACACTTTTACAACTACAGAAAACTAATAATATCTCTACTATAAAAGCTATAGGTACTGTACATAGAATGTTTTCCTAAATTATGTATACATTTTCAAACTATTTAAATATTCATTTATGAAAATATTTCGATTTTACAAATTTTATACAAATATTTTCAAATGAAGGAAAACAAAAAAAAAAACCAAAATATCAAGAAAAAGTGAAAATCTTTTAAAGTTATTTGGAAATTTGTAATTCCTTCCCCCAACCCTAGGGTTTTTCTTACCTTATCACATTTGTAAACTCCTCTCATCTTGCATATTATGTGAATAGTTAAAAACTTTAAAATTCGAAACTATTTTT